CAAAGACATGAGGACTATTTTAGTAACATTAAAGTAATTGTAAATAGCTATGTAGGTTTTCTACACATGCATGTACAGTACAAATATCTTTAGAATGTTTGGGCCAAGTTTTTCCTTGTAATCTCCTTTGCCATAGTCCATCTTGAATTTAAAAAACAAGACAGTTCAAATGGATTCAGACTTTCTCTCCTGGACCTCCGGAAGCCTCAATGGGGGTGTTACTCAGAATTCCAGAGCGGGGCAGCCCTCAGCTGTAACGGTCTGTACGCCTGGGCACTGGGTCTTGCGAGTAAATACATCTGGCCTGTTCAAATTATGAAACAGAGAATCATGTAGGTCAAAAGACACAAGATAATGGTTATTTGTGAGCAGCACATCCATTCTGACCTAGCAGCCCATTTTGTGTATGTCAGTGAGCCATGTATTAGCCAGATTTTAGAAAGACAGTGGAAGTAGGCTCAGAGCAAGGTGAGCTTCTTACTTAATTTGATTGTGTGGTGTGATTAGGTTTTATAAAGACAGCATTGAATAGTGTTAAGGAGGGCTGCCTCACGTCTGTGAAGTAAGTGTTTTGGATTGGTGAAGAGTATGTGATATGGAGCCTGGGGGTGAAGCCCAGGTCCTCTGCTTAATATGTGTATAACCTTGCACAAAACATTGGGTGTTTCAGTCGCTCTGGTTGCATAACAAATACTCCAGACATCATAGCTCATGATTGTGCATGTCAGAAATATGGACAGGACAGAGCGGAGTGACTTACCTCTTGTCTCTGACCCATCAGTGGAATGGAAACTAGGGATCAGATGCATCCTCAGGTGCCTCATTCCCTCCTAGTTGATGCTGATGCTAACTGTTGCCTGAGACCTGAGCTAGGGTTGTTTTCTGGAACACCTACACAACCTCAGAGCATGGCGGCTGGTCCCAAGGGTAGTGAGGGCCAGATGGTAGCTATATTGTTTATTTAAACTAGCTTTTTTTAAAACTAGCTTTTCTTAAATAAACTAGCCTGGAAAATCATGTGGCATCATTTCCAGCTTACTTTATGGGCTGGATAAGCCACAAGTGTCCCCAGGTCCAAAGGAGAAACAGACTGTCTTCCTTGATGGGGAATGACAGTGTTTTGGAAGAACATGTGGAGATGAAAATATTTCTGTGGCCATTTTTCGAAAATATGATTTGCCTCACCTGACTTCCCTTTGCCTTATCTTCCATTTCCGTCAAATAAGGATAATAATACAATATAGAAATTGAGACAGATTTATTCTCTGTGTTCTTTCCATTAGGTATGGAGTTCATTAGTTGATATTCAAGCTCAGCCTTATTTCTAAGTTCTCATCTCTATATCACAAGGTGAAACATGAATAGATGATATATGCTTTATAGTTTTGTTCAAAAAGAACCCAGTTCTCTTATTCTAATATCCTATTTCCCACTTACCAGTGGGAGAAGTAAAGGTAAGGAAGAATACTGAGAAAAACAAAGGAAATGGAGAAAATGGTGGAGAACTCCAAGATGAAAAACCTGAAGAATAAGAAAGGTCAAGGGAAAAAAGTGGAGAACTAGTATTTGTATAACTTGAGGTCTCAATCTGCCTTCATTTTTCAGCATTTTTGGTGACAGAAGAGGAAGTCAGGTTTTTCTCTGACAATGGTTTTTCAATACTTTGGAGATAGTAGGCTAATTAGGTAGCCCAAGAAAAATGCTGTGTATGGTTTCAAGGAGCACACATACCTTGTGAAGCTCAATGACGCACCAAGATAACTCTTGTTAAGGCTGGACAACGTGGTGTATCCTTATAAAATATTCACTGCAAAAACATGTGAATTCTCTTTATGTACTTTTTAAAAATATTCACCTCTCCAGTAGCATATTATCAAATAATATAAATGAATGTGTATAATAAGTGGTTATACTATGAATAGATTATTTCATAAAAGTGAGCAAATAAAATTTGTGGCTCCAAAGTGCTAAATACATGTATTTCCTAACTTAACTGTATGTGTTCATTCATTCATTCACTGAAAACCTGTCACCCTTTTGCGTCAGTTCTGCTTGTGCGTTGTACCTGGAGTGAGCAAAATGACGGCTTCAGCCTCATGGAACTTGTAATCTAACTTTCATTCAACCCTTTATAAACATAATCTTCATTTATTAATACAAAATTGGGGTAAGAGGTCATAGTTAGTCTAGCAACATCAAAGTTTAACAAGCAATCTGAGATAATAGAGAACAAAATTCATCAAGTTTAATTTTTTCCTTACTACCTTCTACACAGTATGAAAACCATGAACAGACAAGAACCAGGTCTCTTCTCTTCATCAGGCCATGTTCCCAATATCTTGTCATTTTAGTCATTAATAATGGGAATGGAATATATACCAATAAACCCAGCTTTGAGAAAATGTTTTATTTATTTAACTTTTTGGGTGAATTTAATACATATGGAAAATAAATGCAAAGGATTCAGAATTCTACATTCTAATTATATATGTGTGTGATTTTTAATGTAAATCATCCCCGTGAGGCCACACATTCTCAAGATGCACCATTCTGTCTCAGAACTTGGGATACAGTAGTTGCTAAGTGAAGTTTTGAATAAGTGAATGAAAATGAGTGAAATAATATTATAAATCAACTCAGAGTGCCATTATTTTAACCTACAGAGATTGCAATCTAATTTTTCTTTAATGGTTTCAGGAACAAATTTTTTTTCCAAGTTTGTATTATCCAAGACCTAAAATGGAAAGAGTCTACTGATAAAACTCAGCTGAATTTGAATTTAAAAACACATGAAAGTCATCTTCTCTTATTAGTGTTTTGTCGTATTGTTGACCTCAACTCTTATGCCCTCAATAATATTAAATATCTTCTCTTACTATCCTTTTATAAGCGGTTCAACTGCAGTGATGATAGCGTTCTTTCTCCTGGACATCATTTCCACCAATAATTTTCATTCCCTCTTTGTTTCATTTGCATGTTATAGTACTATTGGTTAAAAGTAAACCAGAGTTAAACATAAAAACATTTTCAGTGTCAGCAGATACCATTATTTAAAATAAAGAAAACTTAAACTTCATTGCACATCTGAAGGTCACTGACTTTAAGGAATTGGTAGTGAATTGGCAAATCCTATACATTCATTACTGGGAAATGATAATGTAAAACATGACTGATGTAACAATGTTTTGAAGATTCATTGGTTTAAATACACAGTTTGATTTTTTGTTCTCTAATTATGGCATATAAAACAGTTAGAACTGGTGTCATATAGAAATTTAAAATACATGTGTTTGGAAATACAACTGCATATCCCATATTCCACAGTGAGCCAACCATAAAGCATCAAATATATCCCCAGTTAAGTCCCACTAAATAGGTTTAATGCAAAAATGTCACAACTTTTAGTAGCACCCCTATTTAGAGTAGCCATCTAGGGCTTGAAAGAAATATAATTGAGAAGCAGAATATCTCAGGTATCACAGTTGTGTTTATGTTAAATCAAACAAACAAATGAACTAAAATGATTCTTCTTCCTGCCTCCAGTAGAACATTTATCAAAATTCCAACTTACTTGAGATTTAGATTGTAAAAGAATTGTAACTATCTTTTCAAAAGTATCTCCACCAAAAAAAATGTTCATAGATGCTTTGTACTCCTACCAGAAATAATTCTGTGTGATTTTAGGCTCATTTACTAGATACAAGTTTCTAAAGTTTCAAATTATTGTGCCAGAATTGGGACAAGAATATTTAAAATGATTCTCAGTTCATCACTTTGGCTTTTGAAGACCAGCTATGACATGATATTAATCACTAGGGATCAATATAGATTCCAGGCTTTCATGAGAAATATGTTTGTTGACCTTAATAAATCTTGAAGTGTGTAAATACAGAAATATTTGTAGAGGCAGTTTTCTCCTGAATTTCATTTCCTGTATGCATACTCATATTGCAGTGTAGTTTTTAACAACCTACACTAAATGTTTGATGTGAAGGCAGTTTTCACAAAGCAACATTTTTAATTGCTTCACAGTGGTTATTTTTATATCTAGTTATTTAATCATCATCATCATCATGATTAATCTGCATTTATGTATACTGAAACTTTTTGCCACTGTAAATAATGTTATGACAAATCATTTTGCTCAGGATAAATTCCTATAAATGAATTACTAGATTAACAGATTTCAAAATATTTAAGGCTGTTGATCAATTCCATATTTTTTGAAGCAGACAGAGAAAACTTTCTGTGCTATAAATGTAAAAAAGTACCAGCAACTAAACTGAATTCATACATGTAATCTGAAACAACAGGTACAGCCCCTAACTTGCTGATAGGTGGTATTGTGGAAGCTAAATTCTAAGGGCTTTGTATTAGATTTCACATCTGTTCATTGAGTCCTGGAAGGTCCTATACATTTTCAACTACTGCTGATGTATACAGCCTTTAATACAGCCAAATTCTCCCAGTTCAAATCATGGGTCTGCGATGGGTGTCCAGATGTGGGACTCTTTGCTCCTTGTCTTCTACTCTTTGCTTCTCCATGTTTTGAGTGTCTTCTAGGCATGCCACCACTTTGAACCCCTTGGAAATAGGATTCCACATTTCCAAGTGTCTTCTTCCTATTTGAGCCCTGGGAGTGAGGAAACGTAAAGGGTGTGGGAAGCTGGAAAAGGCTCCTGGGAGCTGAGTGGGGCCTCCCCAAGACTGGGTACCTCCCAAGCCATCGTGGAGGGCAGCCTGGGAAAGAGGAGAACCCAAGGTTAAACAGGCTCTGATGGATCAGTGCTCACACACACACACACACACACACACACACACACACACACACACATCCTATCAAGACAGGAAATTATGAAACTAAGGAGGATATTGATGTCAGAGGAAGTATCTTTTTGGCTCCATTTTTTTCCTACAAAGATAATTCAAATGATGTAACAATCCAAACATAAAATGATTTTAATTAATTGTATGTATGTTTTTCTTCTAGAACATGCGAGATGATTCACTAAAAGAAAATCTGCATTTAGCTCAAGAGTACCAGAAATTACAGACTACTTTCTTAACAGAAAAGGACCACTACTTCAATCTGTACAATGAACAGTTATCACTCAGTGGTTCACTTAGAGATAAGAAACAGGTAGGTTTTCCTTATATTCTAAAAAATAATGATTTACTTGACATAGTACAACAAAAACTAGCAAATGGTCAGTCAGGTGGCCTCCAGTCTGATGATGGTTCCTTAAATACCACAAAATGATGGCATATTTTCTTTCTGTAAAGTGTTTTTTGTAATGAAGTATAGTTGATATACAATCTTTTATTGGTTTCAAGCATACAATACAGTGGTTCACCAGTTACCATATTATTAAATTCTCACCCCCACTAGTGCGGTTACTGTCTGTCAACATAGCAAGATGTACTTAATCACTGGCTCTATTCTCCAGCTGCACTTCCATCCCCATAACTAACTTATATTATGATAGAGATTTTTGTGCCCCTTTATCCCCCTCCCCACCCACCTACCCCAGCCCCTCCCCAACAGTGAACACCATCTCTTCTCAGTGTCTGTGAGTCTGCTACTGTTTTGTTTTGTTTTTACATTCCACAAGTGAGTGAAATTATATGGTACATGTCTTTCTCCGCTTGGCTTATTTCTCTGAGCATAATGCCCTCTAGGTCCATCCATGTTGCTGCGAATGGTAGGATTTCTTTGTTTTTTATGGCTGAATAATATTCCATTGTGTATATTATATGTACTTCTTTATCCACATGGAAAGATGCTCCATATCACTAATCATCAGGGAAATGCAAATCAAAACCACAATGAGGTATCATCTGTTTGTAAAGTTTCTTGTGTATTTTTATCAACCCTTGGAAATTAAATTTTGAAAAGATATTTGGGAAATTAAAAAACTTAGTTTCTAGTCCACCATTTTATATTAATTTGGTTTTAATTACTATTACCTAGAATATAACATTTTTATAGCTCATAGATTTAAAAAGGTTATCATTGACTTGAAACTTAAATTCTGTCTATAGGTAACTTTTCATGATGCACCTCTAAATTTTCCTCATGATGTATGGGCTCAAAATCTTGGTTTTATTTTCTTAATACATATGGTGCTTGATTAGAAATGTAGAGAAATTGATGACCCTCTCTGGTTGCCGGAAATCACTTGAAATGCTAGAATATTTTGTAAAATCTTCCATAATAATAAAAGTGGAAGAGTAAGACATGCAATATACCACAAATAAAAGAGGAAAGAGAGAACTCCATTACTAGTCTATTAAGGTATAGCCACTTTATATTCTTTCCAGATAGATACTGGTGGACAAAAAATTATTCCTTTGAGTCCTTGTTTCTTCTTGAATTTAATCATCAAAACATAGAGGCATGATGATTTTATCACAGTTCACCCAGCTGTAAGAACCAGCAGACTGCTAAGCGATCCTTTGTCCTCCTGTTGTTGCTGTATTTCTGTACTATAAGTGAGCAGTTTCGAATTCCAGTGCTATATTTATCCTCATTATTATGGAATATTGGGAGGACAGAAGGCCAGGGTTTGAGTGCAAGTTCTACCAGTCGCTGGCTCAATAGCGATCTTGGCAAGTTAATCCTTTCTGGTGTCAGTTTTGTTATCTGTAAAATAAGATTTACCTCAGACAGAAATTGATAAGGAATATTGCTTTGACATAAAGGGGACATCCATCCAGTGCGTCTGTCATGAGCTCACTCCCGTTTCCCATCTGTGTACTCTCCAACGGGTTAGAGCTTCCAAACATACTGGGACAGAAAAAGGGTATATTTTTCTCTTGAAAATTCATTTTGAGGTAGTGGCAAGATGACGGTACATCAAGAAGTAAATGTTTTGGGGGGAGAATTGAGAATGCCACTTTATGCCAAAATCTCAGTGTCCTCAGATCACTGTGTAGGATTCGAAGAACAGGCGCTAATGTATCATGGCCAGTTCATGCATTTGACATTGTTATTGTGGTTAAACATGTTCTGTTTGTTGCTGATGATTATAGAGAAGAAAATAAGCAATGGCTATACTGTATTTCCTTTTCTAACCAGGAGGGAAGCAGAAATGAATTTTGAGTATACTTGTTACCAGTTTTGTATAGAATGAAATCCTTTCTCGGCAGACAAGGACAACTTACATATTAGAGGACAAAGGACAAGTATGTTAGATACCGGCATAAAAACTAGAGCGCTCATTCCTTTGAAAGACATCCGTAACATACATTTCCACAGTGAGAACAAAATGTCTGGATGTCCTTTTTGGAATTAAAGCAAATCTTGGTTCAGAATCCGAGGAGTGAGACCCTGGCCTGCGCAGACAGTGGGGCATGCTAGGACATTGGTTTGTGTGTGTGGTGATCTCTCAAACGAATCACTTTTAGCACACCTGTTTCAGGGGAACTTTCAAAGATTTATTTGTACTTCCAATCATTTTTCACTCCCATCCTTCAGCAGTAGAGGTCATTAAGTGCAGGCTGCCCTTGTCAGTGTTACGTAGGATCAATTTGCTGAAATGGACAGAGAGGCCTTATTGATGCTGTTAAATCTGTCATGAGAAATCGTATGTCACTAACGTCTAATGCACTGCTTACAGGATGGAATTTGGCCATCAAAACTGAGAAAAACGTTTAATATTTTAGCCCATTTCCTTGATATTGCAGCCTTTCCCATATATGTATGTTCTGTCCTTTGGCCAGTTCAGTTTTGGGAGCACAAAATCACTGTCTGACCTGATTCCCTTGTCCGCTTCCCCTGTCAGGTAGATGGATCTCACTTTTTGGAATTCTGCGTATGTTTGTCCTGTTTTAGAATAATTCCATTGCTTCTGACTCTACGTTCCTTTTGGCATGGCCAATAATTATATTTTAATTATTGTGCTTCTTAGGGAATATTATTGTCTCTCCACAAATTACACATTTTCATACTTCTCTGTATTTTTAGGCCAAGAGTAGGAAGGAAAGCTTAATGGAGGATTTAAAAAATTAAAGGAAAAAATGATGTCTCCTTCCTTAGCACGATTTTATCTACAGATGGTTCAAATTTTAGATGTCATAGTATCATTCTTGGTGATAAAGTCATGCCTGCTTCTTTGGCATGTGTGTCTGGATACTTTCCTGTACTTGGAAACTTTGAAGTGATGGATCTTTTCCCCTTCAAAAATCAGAAACAAGCAAAAATGATTATGCAGAAATCTTATTTGCCCTGTTCATGGTGGTACTGCAATAGAATCTCACCTAAAACTTCTCAGATCTCAAAATTTTAAATGATGCTAAAGAGGAATGAAGAAAAAAAGCTGAAAAACAGGTTGTACTTCTATGTGAAAATGGGCATTTTCCTTAAAAGCTTTCAAATATATTTTTCATTTTTTCTTTTTGAAAAGTCCAAGAACGTATTGTTAACTGAGTGTTTGTTTCAGTTGTTGGCTCAAGTTCTGCAGGCCTGGGAGAGGGGCAAGCTGAGCAGCTGTGGGTGTGAGATGTTGGCCAGAAACAAGATCTCTTCCAAAACTGCCTAAAAAATATTTTAAAGTCTTTTGTAAGCCACTTAAAAGCTTAACCTTTGTCTATTCCAATTCTAAGGGCTTTTAAACTAAGGGAATACAAATTATTGTAAGGGAATGCAATTATTACAGTCAGTCAGTGCTTGACAAGCACTTATGTGGACCCAGTATTAAGGTCTTACAATTTGCGAACATTATCTTTGTAATGTGCCTCTGCAATCCTAGAAGTTTTTCTGTTATTATTATAGTCATCCTCTCCCATATGAGATGTGGCACTGAGATTGAATGTCCACAGCATCAGCTGAAGTAGACGGACAACAGACGGAGATGGGAGTCAGGCTCAGGGTTTTCTTACACCTGTTCATAAGGACCACACTTCCTCTATGCAGGAAGCATGTAAAAACCACATTGATTATGTGTATGTCTCTGGTGTCCAGACAAAACAGATTCTTTGATTCACTACAGGCTTTTGTAATTTTATCTCGCTGGAGTCATTTTTTCAATGAGGATCTTCTGGTGGGGAAAGACTACCTATTTAATTAGAAACTTCTTAATTTCCATGGGGACTGTAGATGGGTTTTGCAACTGTAGCACTGTAAAACTTTTGAACTAGAAGCGCCTTAGAAATTTTGCATTAGAAAGATTACTTTACAGATGAGGAACCTCAGGGCCAGAGTGGCTCAGTTATCTGCCACATATACCGTTAATTAGAGGCAGAACTGGCCCAGGGCACAGCTGTATAAGTTGTATTCAGATGGTCTCTCCCGCAGACCGTAGATGATCATGTGCTCTGATGTTTTTCAAAGGCACAAGTGGACTAGTAGCTGGGGAAGAGGGTTCACTGTTTGGATATGCTGCCTGGCGCATCATCTTTAAGTGGACCGAGTTTGTGAAGGAATCACGTAGAGACTTGAATAACAGGATTGCTTGGTTACTTCTGGGCCTCACACAATTCAAGCACTTTTCACTCATTATTCATTCAATTACTTGAATAAGTTTTAATCATGCATTGTACTGACATCCATGGTTTTGATTTGGCAAAGGGCGCAGGAGTGTGCCGCGTCATCTGAGCTTCCCTTCTGAAGGCTGCCACCCTAGCGTCCATGGGACTCTT